AAAAAAACATCATGCGCATTTTACATAGCATTTTCAAACTACCACAGTGAAGACAGAGAAAGAGCATAACTGTGACAGAAATAGCATTATGTATATTTTCACAAGCACAAAAACATCTAAATTTGATGCTGTCAACAATACAGTTGAAGTACAGCAAGACCATTTAAAAGGGACATCCCCATTCAAAGGAAATTTACCTGTAAGTGTACAAATTATGTAAAGAAAAGCATAGCAAAACCTAAAAGGTCACATGTAATAAAACTAATGTCAAATTAGCATCATTGTGATCTCTATTGACAAAGGTGAACCACACTCTTAAGTTACATAAAAACATAAGCTGATGAGAACTCCATAAAATAATAAACATCTAAGGAGGTCCACTTTAGAAAGTACAATCTTTGCAGCATAAAATCTTACTGCTCAGTAAATATTGTAATGCTTAACTGATATGGCTAGCAACCCAAAGAAATATATGTTTTGATAACCAGGTGCTTAGAAAACAATGTAACAGGTTCTTCTAATAAAAATAGAGGTGACCTATTACACAAAATTAAAAAGGATTCAGGGCTGCATTATTTAAGGAAATCAATATCAGACACTTGGTCCTGATTCCAGAGTTTATGTAACATAGCTACAAATGCATGAGCAGGCTTACAACAGGGTAACACAATTATAGTCTAGTAACGTGTGATATCCAAGCCAATCTCCAAATAATCTACTTCAAAAATTTCTTTTAAATGAAATATTTAAACCCATCATGCATGCTGGAAAACTTGTTAGGTTTTTGAAAAGTTCATATTTTCAGGCACCAGGGGAGATAATGCCAATGGAAACTGAATGATAAGAAAAATTACAATCTCTACTGCACTTGCTATGCCAAACTAAGGCATGAAACGTCATAGGAAAAAAAGTTTGAAATAAAAACTAACAAGGGGCAAAGTCAGAAGCAAAGATTTAGTATCTATAAAGCCTTTTGCAAACAAAAAATCAATAATTCCATTTGCAACCTGTATGCGATGATCTTACACCATAGTATCTCCCATCTTTTATGCTAGGAGGATAACTAAATTCCCATGATCAAAGAGTTCCATTTCTGTGTATATATTCAACGCAAGAACAAAAGAAAACAAAGTTTGTTGCCCTACCATACACCCGAGGAACGTCAAGCTTCCAAGTGAGTATCTGCTCCTCACTATAAAATCTAAGCCAATGACACTTTCAATAAACCACTGATGTTTAGAAGTGGAACTACTGTGACCCCAGCTACCTGTTTACTGTAATAATGCTATACGGCCATCAATTATAAGCTGCTTCATTAAGGGATCAAAGTTCTACTTTCATATGACCTGGCAGAGACGCTGCATATGCAGTGGTGGATTTTCAGTCAGATTAAGAACGCTTGGCTTATGACATAAGGATTAATAGGAGAGAAATGAGGAATATACCATTTGCATCCTCATGGCTATCAGGAGGAGCGCTGGTTGCATAATTCATCTAGACAACATTGTGAAACTCATCGTCCCATGAATTTGTTAGCTACACTCAACAATATATCGAGAAAGGAACATTAATTAACACTACTCAGATTCATGAAAGCGAACTGCACATGAAATATTTCCATTATCCAGATTGCATATCGAAGCAAAATTTGTCCAACTAATATTCAGCAAAAGGAGAAATAAGGGGAGAAAAGAGAGACTTCCAAAGAACTCATATCATTTAATAATACAATTTCTGTCTATTAGTTGAGCACCGCATTATAGGGAATTCTATAAAAGTCTAGACTATTTTATATTAGCAATAAGTTGAGAAATACCTGAATAGGCTTAGAGAGAGAGCATTAGAGAGAGAAAGAAACATCACAAACTACCGTGCCAACAAAATCACCTTGGTCATCATCCAACATTCCAACTAAGACAGAAAATGCAAAGAAAACTAAGTTTCAAAAAAATTGAATCAAAAGCAACGGAAAAAAAAATGATTACGAGTAATTTACCTAATGCAATCTGTGAAATACTTCTTTAAAAACAATATTAGTTGTCTGTTTTGAGACATTCCCTTGAACATCCAAGCTTATAATTTTCAATCCATGCTTACTTTTTACTCTTGAAAGTGCAACATACAATTGACCATGGCTGAATACAGGCCTTGGAAGGTAAATTCCAACATGTGAAAGAGTTTGTCCCTGACTTTTATTGATGGTCATAGCAAAACACTTAACTAAAGGAAATCGTCTTCTCTGAAATTTCACTGGAAGTGAATGGTTAGAAAGAGTCATTACCATCCAAGGTATAAGGATAGACTGACCTACACTTTTTCCAGACAAAATCTTTCCTTCCACAACATGATTTCCAAGCCTTGTAATTAGTAATCTTGTTCCATTACACAAGCCACTGGATTGATCAATATTTCTCAAAAGCATGGCTGGGATGCCTACTTTGAAACTCACTTTATGATCTGGAAACCCTGAAGCAATGAATGTGTTAAGTACCTTAGGAGCATATGTCTGTTGACTGGTATTGAAGTCCAAATCATCTTTGCATACGGAATTTGAACTTAAATAGCTCTTTTCCACACTTTTAATATTGCACATCAAGTAATCATTTAACATAGCAACATCCTTAATTGTTGGAGACAAAATGCAGCGCTCTTGGAAGAACTTAATATCTTGATCATCTATTCTACCCAAAAAGTCTGGATATACAAAATCCACAAGTTGAGCAAGTCCATTAACATCATCCTCAATCAACATTTCTTCTGGAATCTCAATAATTGACTCACCATCAACATCATCTCCAATCTCTCCATCTCCAACTTTCAATAACCAATCAAAGAAATCCCTTAACTCCACCAAATTTTGGTTAGATGAGGCTGTTTGTAACCTAAGATTCTTTGTAAAAGTTAAAACTTGACAATAGTCCCACAGATAGAAGGAGTTGATTGTTGCATGAACAATTTCTTGTCTACCGCCATAAGGAACTACTGGTAAAATCTGTCTGAAGTCACCTCCAAGAACAATAATTATCCCTCCAAAAGGATTTTTTGAAACGTCATTATTGTCATCTTTGAAGATATCTCTCAAGGATTTGTCTAATGATTCAAAACAAAACCTATGTGACATTGGAGCCTCATCCCATATAATTAATTTGGTCTTGGACAGCAACTCAACCAAAGGAGTCCCTTTTTTTATGTTGCAAGTGGAATCCTCATTTATGTCTATCGGTATGGCAAATCTAGAATGTGCTGTTCTTCCTCCAGGGAGTAATTCTGCAGCAATACCACTTGAAGCAACATTAAGAACAATCTGTCCCTTTGATCTAAAAGATGCTGATAGAGTTTTCCAAACAAATGTTTTCCCAGTGCCTCCAAAACCATATAGAAAGAAAACACCTCCTTTATTCTTATTAACTGCTTGTATTATAGTATCATAAACCTTTCTTTGCTCATCAGTAAGACATGACAAATACTTATTCAATTCTTCAGATAGAAAAGCTCTGTCATAGCACATTTCATCCAAAATTAATTTATTATGTATGCCACAAAATATCACACCATTAGGCTTTGGCATGGAAGGAAAATCATCAAGACTCTTTCCATTTCCTTGAAGAATTTTCTCAATTTCAGCAAGAGCATTATTCTTGATTTCCTCATCACTCATATGAAAATCTACAATAAATAGTCAATTATAAAAGTCACTACATGAAATGAGTATAGGATAAGAGATTTTATTATTTTGTAAAATAAGAAAGAAAAATAAAATTATAAATTGAGCAACAAAGAAACAAAAAATACCTTGTCTTCCAATGACTTGTCTTTGACGATGAAGTATGTCATCAGACAAATATTTCCAGCAACTATCCCAAACATGCTCAGGTCTACACATGCTCTTAGAGTACAATAAAGACGCAAAAAGCTGTCGAAGGTAGTGTGCAGTCTGTCCCTACAAATGAGCTTCATTTATAGCATCAATGTACTCCTTGTCATCATCCAACAATCCCAAAGCATAACATGCTTCTTTAAAGTTAGGAAACACAATACTATTTATTGCTCTAATATCTTCATAACTTCTGCATTTCCTTGAATATTCAATAGAATCCTCAAATAATATTCTTCTCCAATACCAGGCGGCACATTAGCTATTCTTCCAATAGCAAAGCCCTTTTTCCTCTTGGTCCACTCATGTGTTTGTTCATTGTAGACAAATTGTGTGGGAAATTCAGCATAAATAAGTTCCCTTGCAAAATCAAATTTTCTATTTGCTTCCATCCAAGCTTCAAACATTGTTTTTTTATAATCAACTTTACTCAAAACTTCCTCAATATCATCGTTATCTCTGTAAATGACATACTTTTTATCTTCCAAGTGGAAAGATAATCTTTGCACAGATGGAGACCTATAATGAATTGGAAATCCAAAAATCCTCCAAGCTGCTTCACATGCAGAAACATACCTACATTTAAATCAAAATCATTTTAATATACTAATGATTGTTATAAACTAAGATAAATTTTAATATACCTACATTTAAATAAACTAATGATTGTTGCAAAAATAAAAGTAGGCTAAACAATATCTCTACAAGTTTTGAACTTGGATCACCTTCTAGAAATATATTTCAAAATGGCCATACTTTTGTAATTTCCAACCAGAAAGACTCAAACATTGAAAAAGAGATCTGACCTTTTCATAATTCTAAAGAAGTATATAGGAGAAATGGGAAGCTTTTTTGAGGTAATAACCTATTTTTTTTTTCTCTTCTACATTCTAATGCAACTTGATATTTAAAATTTTAAGACTCAGTGTAAAATTATTTAAATAATTAATTTTTTTTATAAACCTGCAAGTTGCAATTGAAAGGAAAAAAGGCAACGCCAGTGGATAACATCAACTGTGATCTAATCCAAATAATATAGCCTAGCTAATAAAATCCAAGGATATTTATGCGATCAACCTGTGATAATACATTATGCATGTGAAGAATACTTAATGTCTAATCTTACCTTTTTCAAGACATAATTTTCATTAACTATGAAGATTACATACCTTTTTGGAGACCAATCACACTACATATGGTCTGATGCTTGAAGTTTGAATACACACTACCATTTACTGTTCTAATATAGATCATTTTAAAGTCATTTTAATAGACAACCATTAAAACAATCATCGAAAAAAAAGGAAAAGCATTTGGGGAACAATGATATGTACTCACCTACAATCATAATATCTCTGGATTTCATCTAAAGAAGCTAATCCACTCCCTCCAGGATAACTGAGTATAGATGTTACCCGATCGTTACCTTTGTGAATATATTTGAAAAGGTACTTAATAGCACTGGTTTGACATGTATACTCCACATTTATGTGAGCTTTGTACTTCAAAAAAAGCTTTGCATTATAAGGAACGACATATCAATTATCCAGCTCAACACCCTTCTTCTTCACTGTTCTACCATTATCCTTCCTCCTATAATGAGGGAAGCCTTCTTCATCTATTGTAGTTCTAGAGCAAAATCCTCTGGGAAAGTGTTTTGTGCAATTCTTACCACCTTTCATGCAAGGCAATTTAAGATTTGCTCTTCCACACGGTCCATGCATCATGCAAGCCTTAACAACATCATACAATTCTGGATCCAGTACTTCGTCAGGAATTTCTGCTGAAATGATTTTATCAAGGTCCTCTGCAAATTTTGGCTTGTCATCCGGATGTAACCATAACAATATATGCGCATGGGGAAGCCCACGTTTCTGAAATTAAATTGTGCAAGTATCTACTCATGAAGTTAATTAACCAAATGAGAGATCTTAAAGGCCCATGACAGTTAAGTAAAAAATAAAAAGTTATGATAGTAAATTTAACTTACATGCTAAAACTCTTCCAAAAATATGACCACTCCTCAAATCATTGAGCAAATGATCCAATTTAATCTTAAAGACTCTGCAAAGTATGTCAGGACGGTCCTTAGGTCGAAGGCCTCTTTTACTAACAAATCTCATTATTTCCTGCCATTTAGGATTGCAAGTCATTGTAATAAATAAACTTGGATAACCAGCCCAACGACAAATGGCAAATGCATCCTTGCAGTTCTCAGACATATACCTAGGACCTCCAGTGAATGAAGATGAAAGTACAATCCGCTTGCCAGTAGCAGATGCTTGTTTTTCACCTCGACTTAGAGCATCGTTCAAACCTCTATACAAATATGCTCTTAACAAAGTTTGATTATATTTCAAAAAATTCAATCGCTCAGCTTCAATCATTGTGTAAGCATCCACCATGAATTGTTGAAACAACTTCCTTGAAGATAACAAAATTTGGGACTTTTTTTCCCTATTTTGTAGACGAAATGTAAAAAACTCTCTCATGCTTACTGTTTTCCTCCCACCACCCTCAGATGATGTCAGAAGGTTGAGCATAACATCATTCCTATATCCATCTTCTCCGTAAGGAAACAATAAAGGATATTGCAAAGCAAGATAAAGAGGATGGTGCACATCAATGCATTGCAGCAACCTAGACTATGTTTCAATTATAATATCCCTATCTCCAATAGAACCATTAATATCTCCAACAACCAATGCAGCCACTTCAGATGCAGATGGTAGATTGTATGTTCTTCCATCCTTGTTCATTCGTTGAACCAGTCTCATCTTGACACCTTCAAGATTATCTTATTTAAAACGGTCCCTTGCATATCGAAAACTCTTGGCAAGTGCATTGTTTTGATCAAGCATTTCCTTCAAGGCAATTATGATTTCAGGATCCAAATTTTTACTTTCCTGTCTTGAATTATAAAAATAAATAAATAAATAATCAGCTTAAAAAACTGCATAATAGTTTCAAATGTAATTCCTAGAAACACTAAACAAAAGGGCAATAATATAATCAAGGAGATGATTTACATACCCAAAACATTTCACCCTGTTTTCAATTTCATTATTTGTATCAAAGATGTAAAGTTGGGCAAATTTAAGACTCTCATTTGGAACAAGGAGAAGATTGCCCACATGATTTTGACCCCCAAGTCTGAAAATAGGAGGATTTGAACCTTGATTGATCAAGGGATCAACTTTACCTCCAAAAGATGTAAATGCAAACATCATATTATACGCCCTAAGATTGCATAAGAAATTCTTACTGCGATTGTCTTCAGCTTTGTGTAATATATCTTTAGATTTTATTTCTATTTTGGTTTCTCCAGTTTCCTCTTTTTCCTCTCCGATGTAGCCTCCTTCTTTCTTTTCGCTTTCTTGCTCTTCCTTAGTCTTTTGTAGTGCTTGAACTAGCAATTTCAGACAAGCTTCAGCATCTGCCCCCGATGTCTTCAGCATCAAGTTCTCTGCAATGTCGGCCGAAGTCATGTTCGTCTTGTCCGGGCAACTCTTCAATCCCGATTCAATGTGCATGTCCATCCTCCCTCTCCGGATCAGAGCCGGGTCGAGTTGCTCCACACGGTTCATGGTGAACACGATTACTTGTTCTTTAGTGCACTCTAACTAAATCCCGTTGATGAAATTCAAAAACCCAGATAAAGTTACCTTGCTTTCATCACTCCACTCGTGCCATCCTGCTGGGTGGATGACATCGCTGATCGTGGATTGCATTATGATGGTCCTCGAACAGTGCTTCCACGGCCGGCCCAAGTAAGTCCCGAAGCTGCCCCTTATGCGTTGTAAATCAGGAGTGGCACCGATTCTGCATTTCTGGATGACGATTCCAGTATTCTGATGTGGGCCGTGACAATGTTTTTCTGTCCGAGACCGGGTCGTCGTGCGTGGATCTCTCAATCCTTTCATAACACCGCTGATCCGTTGAAGCACCAAGCCATTGCCCTCCCCGTATTCATGGCGATCTCTCCATTTTCTCCGGCTTCTTACAAACCAGTTTGCCAGTTTTGGTCAAAGGGTTGCTGCAAGTATGACAGTAACTATCGGTTTCTGCATCCCGATCATCAATCTCTAGTCGCCGTTAAGAAACTGGCTCATTCAACTTCGAGTACTGCCCACTCTTGCTGCTGATTTTCTGAAGGTATCCTTGCTTCCTTTTATGTTGCTTTGTTGATGTTGAGGTTTTCCAAGATGTCCCTATTTTTTCATATCCTTAGCTTTACAGTTCTTTTGTTGAACAAGAAGAAAAGAAAAAAAGAAGAGAGGAAATGCTATACCAAATCTTGTAATTTGTATAGATCTCCAACAATCAATTAACATTATAATAGGCATGTTATGTAATCAAAGGTGTTTTGAATTTAAAACTACATTATTTATGAGTAAATAGTGATTTTCTACACTTAAAAAACAAATTTAGCATGCACCTATAACCAAGTACATATGTACCAAATAACTTTCAAAAGAAAGAGAAAAAAATCTCTCTCTTCATTAAATATCATGAGAGAAAAATGGAAAATGAAACATAAAATACAAAGAAATTTTAATTTTGATAAGGATTTTTGTAGAGATACTATGCTAACCATTAGAGCAATATTTAAATAAAATTAAAAGAAAATTATCAGATTATCTAATAATTTCTCAAATAATTAGACGTGGAAACCACATCCAGTTCCCTTTCCACCTTTCCCTTTTCATAACTCACATGACTTATGAAACAGTTGTTTTTCTTTTGTTACATCTCAAATTTTCAACCATCCATAGTAAAATTCATCAAATCCTACATCTCAAAGACAAAACGAATAACTTATTCCAGCAAAAGAGAATTAATTCAAGGCATCAATGATAAAGGGATGTCTGTGACCCAGCAAACCAGTCATCCCAAAACAAGCAAGTTTGCAATACAAAATTAAGAACTAGAGTTTGGAATGCACAACAAGAACAGAAACACACAACATATCAGATGAAGACAAAAGCCACAAATAAAACAAATGCTAACACAATGAGTCCGAAGGATGCCCCCATGAGTATTATGAGACTTAGGTTTGAGCAAGAAAGTTTAGCATTTTTTGTGGGCGGCATCTTTGTGGGCAGCATCTTTGTGGGCAGCATCTTTGTGGACAGGATCAACAGACCCAAAGCAGGGAACAAAGAGGCAAACATTGCGAGAATTGCTGATTTCAAGAGGAACTCGCTTGTCGAGGAAGAATGGGCTTTTGCACCGCCTGAATGGAAGCCGACAATCGAAGCTGTAGATACTGTGATAAGAAGGACTGCAACTTTTTGCCCATTTTTCATATTCTCTACTGGAATCAGTTGCTGCTCTACTGGCATTTGAACAGCAGCCCTCCCCATCTGCTGATCTTGCCCCATAAAAGAACTAACGCAGTTTCCCTGTTCATTGAGAAAAAAGAAAACCACGTATACTTAATATTTGTGCTTGATTGGGATATAATAAAACAAGAAAAATATCTCCTTTTTTATTTTTTTTTTGAATTGGCATGGGAAAATTTATGATGTCCTTAAAACTCTATTCTCTACTGCAAGCATGATTTGTATTCACATCTTTGATATAAAACCAACAAAGGACACTATATCAACTCAAGAGATAACTCTGTTGAAATGATATGCCTTTTTCCCTCTATATATGATATTAAACATTTTTCAAACAATGATATCCAGATAGCTGAAGTCCTCACTATGCCTTTTGTGGGGATTTAGCAGTGGATCATATTTATATGCACCACTTTTTTATTTTGTTACTACTGCAGGTAAATCATGAATTGCTAACATCGAGAGATATTCCAATGATCTTATTAATTAGATAAGATGTAAGGGAAAGGAAAATTCCCCACCTCTTCTGGTATTTGTACTCGAACGCTATCTGAATTTTGTGTAGGGTGGATCTCTGAAATTTCAACTTGCCTTGGAGGCTGCTGACCAGCAAGGTCTAAACTAGATACTTTGGTTTCTTTCCCCTTTTCCCCATCCTGCATCTCTGTCTTCTGTAAGTTACCAAAGCACATAAATATTCATTTACATATACATGTATATATATATATATATATATATATATACACGTTAAAAGCAAGATGGAACATATATATGATTCACTAATACCTCATCTGCCAGGTAATCTCTTTGCTGTTCAACTGTTAATTAATTTTTTACTGTTTACTCATGTAGAACCCAGTGCTTTTAATGAAATGAAAGTTAATTTTACATTCAAACTATTGGAATGTCTACTGGCCCAAGAAAAGTCATGTGTATGCAGCAATAGCATACATGATGGTTATAATGCTTTATTTGGATGCAAATGCAATATATGCTAGAACCACTTTTCCAAGCTGAGAAATGCAAGAGGACAGGAAAGGAGCAGAAATTGAGAAATATTTATTAAAAAAAAAAATTGAAACAGAGAAACCATGGGATGATGAATGCTTAATTCATAGTAGCCTACGGAGAACACAGAATGATGAGAAGCAAGAAACAGAACTTGTAACCAGAGAGCTTCATATAATAATGCTTGAAAGCACCTGTGCATCCAGTTGGTTGAACATTTGGAATATCAATTAAGTAAACAACTAGAAAATAACAAAAGCAAGGAAAATGATAAGAAAATAATGTAATTCTGTTGTAATTTCCGATGAAAATGAAAAAAAAAATGTCTGCATCAAAAGAGGTTGAGGTTCTATTGAGGTGAAATCAATCATTCAGTTAACCCAAGACTTGAAAACAACAGCATGCTAAGAATGAAACTTAAATTGCAAATAATAAATTAGAAAGACATCTGGTTAAAGTTGGAAGGCAAAGAGAGAAAAAGAACATACTTCCG